TCGCCAGCCACGTCCGCGTTCACTCTCGGCGTATCGCGGCAAGCGGGTTCTGCTTCCGCTGGAGAATCGTCCACCGACAGGGAAGTTCATGGTAACGTTCTGCGAAGAACGTGAGTCGAGGCCCCTGACACAGTCAGGGGGCTCAACCACGATCTGACTCGCCCCACTTGAACCGTGGCAGTCATTGCTCATGAGTGCCAAGGGCATCGTTCTTTCAGCCAGGAGGCACAGCCTCCTGGCTTCGTGGAACAACTTGCGGCTGATAGCCACCGCTTGCCAGTCTATCGTTAAATCCGGCAAAGGCTTCATAAACCGAATTGGTTATTGATGTTCTGGTTCGTCGTGTTCATGTTCGGTCTGCTCCAGAAGCATTGTAAGATCACGCCGCGCACACGATGCACTACTAGCCATGGGTGAATGTCCGTTAAGCGATATGCTTCAGAATGACTGTGAAGACAGAAGCGCCCGACCGAGGGGAGGGCGCGCGCGCGCGAGCGGGCCTCTTCTTTCTCCTAAAGCAGATATGAGAAAAGCTGCGGACGCATCTCGTCTGCGCAGGCCCTGCCATCCCTCAGTTGGAGGGAAGTGGCAGGGAAGGAAAATATAGCGCGGTGGGCGTTCGGAATAGCAGTATGCTTAAAAGGTGGGCCCGCTTGGTTCGGTTATGGTGGCATCTCCCATGAAAGTGTACTGCACGTGTCGCGTGGTCGATGGCAGTCTTTCGATTTGCGAACGTGCTTCGGCACCACGGGCATTGATTGGTGACGAGAGGGGACGTCACCAGAGGACGGACATTGTGCTTCTTCTCTCGGCGATGCCCAGCCAGCGCAGCATAAGTTGGAAACCGCTGCCCGCACGTAACCTCCCCCCCACTCTCCTCTTCGCAATGGGCACGGTCGCACCAGTAGGCTCTGGTTCCCTTCCTCCTGTTTTCCCTTCTCGCCAGCACATCCTAATTCCTATCGTAACTGTATAAGGCGGTCTGGTCGGTCGAGATCCACTTGCCGTGTTCTACCGTGCCTGGTTGGAGAACGGAGAAGTCCGAGGATCTGCTGGCAAACCATGCCATGCTCTGTCGACCACTTCCGAGAGGGCCTGGAGGTCCGCCAAATACTGCTGGGCCCACGGGGTCGATTGTTGGCCCATCCAGAGGCCCTCGTCCAGTCGTATGATGTCCCTGGAAGCGTCGAGCTTGGAGGTCCCGAGAACAGCTGCTACCATTGCTCCGTGTTCCGTCCGATGCCTGGCCCGGTTTTGATGCCACCGAAGTCGCCTCGACCTCAAGGAGATGGCATTGCGTTCCAGGAGGCGGTACTGGAATACTCGTCGGAGGTTGTTGCATCGCATGCTGCCATCCTCCCTCCGCCCTGCCCCTCTTCTCCCCCTCTTATCCCTCAAGGCACGGGCCGCGCCTCGGTCAGGCGGGCGACGATCGGGACGGATAGCTCGACGACGGTGGCCACGCCGTCTATTTCGCCGACGGACGGGTCCTCGAGCCACTGGCCGGCCCTCCATCGTCGTGGTCGTCGTCGTCGTGGTCGTCGTCGCGGTCGTCATGGCCGTGATCGTGGTCGTTGTGGTCGTGGTCGTCGTCGTCGTGGTCGTCGTGATCGTGGTCGTGGTCGTCGTCATGGTCGTCGTGGTCATCGTGGTCGTGGTCGTCGTCGCCGTCGTCGTCGCCGCAGTCGTCGTCGTCGTCGTCGTGGTGGTCGTCGTCGTCGTCGTGGTCGTCGTCGTCGTCGGCGTCGTCGTGGTCGTCGTCGTGGTCGTCGTCGTCGTGGTCATCGTCTTTGCCGTGGTCGTGGCCGTGGTCGTCGTCGTGGTCGCGGTCATGGTCATCGTCGTCGTCGTCGTCGTCCTCGTCGTCGTCGTCGTCGTCGTCGACGTGGTTGTCGTCTCGCCCCTCTCCTTTTGGGGGGGAATGCTTCAAGAGTGCTGTGGGAGGTCAAAGGGGGTAGGAGCGGTAACTCCCCCATACGCCACCCCGCCCTGACTGCAGTGGAGATGCGCACAAGAACAATGACCAAAAACAGTGACCAACACGTCACCAGCCGGCAACCATGCCCCAAATTCCCAAGATCCTCATTGTCTTCTCCCCGAAAGCATCGCGGACCTCCTTCTCCTCCTCGACAGCACAAAGGTCCATTAAACCCTCGTAGAATATGCTCAAACATCCCCCTCTGTTCCCGCCCTCCACTTCTAACCGATTGAGGGGGAGCCCACAGCCAAGCCCCAGGCCGAATAGACCGAGCTTGGAAAACAGGTCCCGACCAGAAAAACGAAGTCCCCATTCCCAAAATGAGGGGGGCTGGCCTTGCAGCTAGCTGTGGTCCGCCATTGGGGTGGTGGCGGGTGGGACGGGGCCCAGTTTCGATTCGCGGCTCTCCCCTAAGGGACCCCTGAACAGAACGAAAATCACATGCGAAGCGCGTCGAGCCGCTCGGCCCGCCCCCAGCGGCGACGACGACGGCGGCGACGACGGCGGCGGCGGCAGCCACCGCTCCTCCTCCCCCCCGCCGCCCCTCCAGCCCGATCCTGGCGGAGCTGCTTGATCGCCTGCAGGGCCTGGCGTCACAGGAAGCGGGGCCCGCGACCATGCGCGAGGAGCAGGCGGGCGCGGGAGGGGGAGGAGAGACGAAGCGGGGCTTGCGGGAGAGGGAGAACAGGTGAGAGACGGATGGGGAGAGGGGGGAGGGAAAGGGGCGGGGGAAGGAGAGGGCGAGGGAGAGAGGAGGAAAGGGCGAGCTGGGTGCGACCACGTCATAGTTGACATCCTACCCCTCCCCCCATCCCCAGTGCGCAGATTTGTCTCCACGCCCAACACGTGTCATGGCGGAAGAAAATCGTGTTAGGCGCAATCGGAAAAGGGGAGCTGCGTACATTGGAGGAAACGGCGGCGGATGAGCAGGAGGATGAGCAGGAGGATGAGCAGGAGAAGGAGGAGGGTCAGGAAGAAGGGCTTCCCATTGCTCGTCGGAAATCATTGTGGTGAGGGGGCGTTTTTCAAGTTCCCAGCAGGGGCACATCCAGATTGCGTCTCCTCGTGGTTGTCGCAATACCTGCAAAGTGGGATCGGGTCAGCTGATGTGTTGGCACGCACATTGCGCTGCTGTGTACGATCGCCGCCCGCAAGGTAGTTGTAGAGGAGGCCTCGTTGTCAGGTGTTGATGTTAAGGGCTTTCTTAGTGCTGGCCAGCCACGTGTTGGCGAACATGCCGATTCCCTGCTGAACTTTTGGGAGGTACCCAAGTCGCGGTGCGAAGGTATTATTTTTCCCCTAATTACGGGTTCCCCGGTCATCACAGAAGGTGCCGAAGTCGTGCCAGGTCCACGAAGAGTTGTTGCAGGACTTGGGCAAGGCGACCAATAGTCCCTCCTCCCCAGGTGGTCTGGACGTGGTTTCTGAGTTCGGCGGTCTGACGGGTTAGTTCAGGGTCGCGGCGGACCTGTCGTAGGACCGCCAGGATGTTTCTTTATGAGTGAGACAAAGAGAGAGAGAGAGAGAGAGAGAGAGGGTGTTGAAGAGGAACGCGCGCACGCATCCCACCTCCCCAACCGGATTGCTGGGGGTGGGATGCGTTGGTGCGCGCTCGCGATGCTCTCGAGTCCCAGCCCCTCCCCGCCCCTGCCTCGGCCGCGCCCGAGAGTGGGCGGCATCCTCCCCTCCACCACAACGCCGACCCCTTGAACGGGGGGAGACGACATGCGTCGCACCGCGCCCCGCAGATGCATCGCTGCGCGACTCGACTATAAGCGAATGACGACGGCGGCAAACGCCCGACTACAAACGACTACAAACGGTCGACGAACGAAGAACAACGAACGACGACCGACGAACGACGACGACGGCGACGATGACGAGCGACGAACGACGAACAACAAGCAACGAATGGTGACGAGGACGAAGACTGTCGACGAACGGTGAACGACGACGCATTACGAACGTCGAACGACGCCGCACATGTGGGCGCATCGCAACGCGACCACCGCGCGGGGGGGAGATCGGGGGGGTCTGCAGGAAAAATTGAAAGGCTTTCTCGGGAACCCTCAGGCCGCATAAGGATTCCTCGGGCGCGGACTCGCGCCTCGCATCGGCGGCGCTCTCGGCTCGCGAGGGAGAACAGAGGGAGGAAGCGGAGAGAGAGAGAGAAGGGAGCGACTGGGAGGGAGGGAGGGGAGGGGGAGGGAGAGAGGGAGAGCCGACGGGGGGGGGATTCGGCCCCGAACCCGGAAGAGCCCCTCCCGACCCTCGCGGCACCCCCCTCCGTCCTCCCCACTTTAGCGGCGCGCACGAGGGGGTAGGGGGAGGGGGGAAGGCTTCTTAGAAGCACCCTGCTTCTCAGACGGCCCTGGCCATGCGTCTGTAGAGAGAAGGCCAGCGCCTTCCAAGAAGCAGGGGTGCTTCTAAGAAGCCTCCCCCCCGCCCCCTACCCCCCTCTGCGCGTGGCCGACCACTGCAAGAGGACCGAGGATGGCTGGAGGAAGAAAGAGCGGCAGAAACATCAACGTTCGCAGGTCCGCGCGCGGATCTCGGATCGGTGCTGGAACCCCCTCTCGGGGGAACGAAAGGGAGGGGATAGGGGGTAGGGTTAGAGAATCAGCCCACGCAGATGATTTTCCCAGCGCCTCCCGGCGCCGGGAGGCGCCCATGCATCGAGGAAAATGGGCCCGGCGGCGGGGCCGAAACCGCTGCATGCAGCAGATCTCGCAACCCCCCCCCTTTCCTCTCCCCTTCATTCGGTCCTTCCTCCTCCTCCTCCTCCTCTCCTCCTCCTCCTACTCCTCCTCCTCTCTCCTCCTCCTCCTCCTCTCCTCCTCCTCCTCCTCCTCTCCCTCCCTCCTCCTCTCCTCCTCCTCCTCCTCCTCCTCCCTCCTCCCTCCTCCTCCTCCTCCTCCTCCTCCTCCCCCCAGCAGCGCGCGCCGCCCGGGAGGGCCAGCGCCGACCCAAGACAGCCGCGCGGAGAACGTCGGAGCTCCGCGCGGCTTTTCGCCCTCGAGGTGCCCCGCGCGAGCCGCCGCGGGGCCCGACGCGGTGTTCGCGTCAGGAGCGCGCGCACGCGCTGGCCCCGCGACCGGGGCCGTCGTCCGACCCCGAGCTGCCCGCGTCGTCCTCCTCGAAGTCGTCCGCGTACAGGTCCGAGCCGCTCTGCTCGGCCTCCCCGGGATCCTCCAGGGAGGAGGAGGAGGAGGCGGAGGAGGAGCAGGAAGAGGAGGTTGGGGAGGAGGAGGAGGAGGGAGGAGGAGGAGGAGGAGGAGGAGGAGGAGGAGGAGGAGGAGGAGGAGGAGGGAGGAGGAGGAGGAGGAGGGAGAAGGAGGAGGAGGAGGAGGAGGAGGAACAGGAGGAAGGGGAAGGAGGGAGGGGGAGGAGGAGGGTGGAGGAGGAAGAGGAGGAGGAGGAGGAGGAGGAGGAGGAGGAGGAGGAGGAGGAGGAGTAGAAGGGAGGAGGGAGGAGGAGGGAGGAAGAGGGAGGAGGGAGGAAGGGGGAGGAGGCCCGCCTGCCAGTCGCCCGGCGCCGTCGTTTCCCCTTCCAGCGTGTCTCCTCGAACTGCGCCCCCTCTCGGAGGCCCGTGCTGGCCCCACGGACCCTCGGGAAGAGAACAGCTTGAGGCTGCTGAGCGTCGTTTTACCGATCCCCATCCCACCTGGCACCGCTGACATTTCCTCTGCCCCACTGGCCGCGGTGCTCCCCTAGATGGGGGATGCAGGGTGTATGACGTTCCCCCTGGGTGTCGCAGGTCTCATCCCCATCCTGCGAGGTGGCCTGGCGGGGCTGAGATACCATGGCACAGTGGGGATAGGCATCGGATAAACGATGCCGACCCGCGGGCCATCGGGAAAAAACGGTCGAGGACGAAGGGCTGGCCCAGTCGAGAGGCCGTGGGGCCACGCAGTGGAAACACGACGGCGCGGGAGGTTGGCAGCAGGGCGGCAGGCGGGCCGAGGCGGGGAAGCACCCTGGGAGGCAACGGGGCGGGAGCTTCTCAGAAGGGGTCGCCGGCTTCCATTCGGGGGGCCACATGCGAACCCCACCTCACCCTCACCCTCAGAAATTGTGGGGGGTAGGGGTGGGGCTCGCATGTGGCCCCTGTCCATGAGAACCAGAGATGCCTCTTTAAAGCCAGAGGTGGCTCCGAAAAAGAAGCCCTCCGGCATCCTCAGAAGGCCACCCCCTCGCTCCAGCCCGCCCTGGCTCGGAGGGCCAGTGGAGACGACGGCGGCTCTTCCGCCCAGCCCAGATCCGACCAAAGTCGCTTCCCGCCATCCTTCCCTGAGCATCCCATAACCCATCCCGCTCCCGACGGTCGTGGCCTCGGTCCCACTGGCCGGTCTACCCCCCTGGGCTGCGGATCTGTGCTGCTCCCTTCGGGCTTCGTGGGGCCTGTCCCCAGCTGGGGCGGCTAGACGGTGGGGCTGAGCCACCGAGGCTCAGTGGGGACAGGGATCGGTTATTCGGCGGTGGACAAACCTCTCTTTAGTAAGCCTCCCTTCTATGAAAACGGGCCCAGGGCCGAAACTGGCGGACCCGGACCCGCAAAAATGACGGCCGCGACGCCCAGTCCGCTGCTCGACGTGTCAGGGTATATTTGGACGTCCATCGACCTCCGAGCTGCAGACGGTATACTGATTCCGCTGTGCTGTGCTGTGCTGAGCTGAGCTGAGCTGAGCTGTACTGAGCTGTGGTGAGCAGTGCTGTGCTGTGCTGTGCTGCGCTGTGCTGTGCTGTGCTGCGCTGTGTGAGAAGGGGAGGAGGGAGGTGAGTGAGCGAGCGCGGGTGCGACGAGGCATGGAAGAAGACCAGAACCCCACTAAGCATGTGGAGGGGGGGGAAAAAAAAAAAAAAAAAAAACCAAAAAAAAAAAAAAAAAAAAAAAAAAAACATTGGTTCCCCCCCGACCCGTGCTCCAGGGCGGGCCCGGCCGTGGCGAGGAGGAGCTCCACGGGAGGCCACGGAGGGGGGGGGGGGGCCGCCGCTGCCTCGACCTGGCCCTCCTCCGGTGGGGCGCGGCGCGGAGGACCCCTGCGCGGGTCGGGGCCCTCCGGGCCCTCCTCGCGGGCCGGACGAGAGGGGGCGCCCCGACTGCGGATCCGCCGTGCGGAGGAGGAGGAGGAGGAGGAGGAGGAGGAGGAGGAGGAGGAGGAGGAGGAGGAGGAGGAGGAGGAGGGGGAGGAGGAGGAGGGGGAGGAGGAGGAGGAGGGGAGGAGGAGGAGGAGGAGGAGGAGGAGGAGGAGGGAAAGGAGGAGGAGGAGCAGGAGGAGGAGGAGTGGAGATGCCCGCCCTGCTGTTCAAGCTCCGCTGGTGCCGATGTCCGCCCGGCTCCGCCCTGCCTCTGCGGGAGCATCCGCCGTGCTTTTTTCCGAGGTGGAGCTGTCCGCCCTGCTTGATGGCGTCGTGTGGGGTGCACTTTCGTAGGGCGACGAAATCTATACATATCCACTGCTCCCAGGCCAGGCCCATCCTCAACCCCGCAGCGGTGTATACGCCACGCCCTCCTGGCTTGGCCAGGAGGGCGCATACACAGCTCCTGGGTTCAAGATGGGCATGGTCAGGGAGCAGTGGATATGTATAGATTTCGTCGCCCGATTTCGACAGAGCTTCAAATCGGGAAGTCGACCAGAGTCAGGAGGGAGACAGGGTGGATAGCACAAGGGCGGTTCGCGAATCAGCCGACGTAGCTCCCGGCGCCAGAGGCTCAGGTGCATCGACGAAAGCGCCTGGGCGCGGAGACGAAACCCGCTGCATGCAGCAGCTTTCGAAACCCACTCTTTCCCAACCCCTCCCTTTCGTCCGACCCGAGCGATCCTTGCCGCATGGCTTTCGGGTCACAACTCGGGTCTGCGGCAGCCGTTCGGGACGATCCGGACGATCCGAGGCGCAGCTGCTTGAGAGCACTCCTTGACACGCTCGAAATGGATACGGAAAGATGGGTGCGACACCCAGCAGCCAACGCTGTCAAAAACCGACAGCGGCCCCTGCTGGGCAGGCGACCTCCTGCCTCAAATGGGCAGCGTCCGCTGCGGCACCGATGGCGACGCCTGCTCAGAACGGACGGGAACAGCCGCTGGTTTTCATCACCGCGTCCCTATCGGGGAGACATAAGACTCGGGTTCGGGGGACTCTGGTTGGCCCGACGGGGCCGTTGGGAAAATCACGAGCCCCACTCTGAAATTTGACGCGAGCTCCCGCTGCAGACATCCACCGGAAAACTGGGCCGTCAACATCCTGGGCGGGCTCGTCAAAAAGCGTAGGCAAACACGAGTTCCAGCGGACTCGAGTCGCACGTGTCTCCGACTATGACGAGGCCAGGACATGGATAAAATCGAGTGATGATAGATCGGGAATCTCTGAGATCCGGCGGCTCCAAAGGATGTATCGAGCGCCGCCACCTGCTCAGAGCGCTCCGAACGCTCTGGAACGGATTGATCCTCGTACTACAGCCTATAGCCCATAGCCCCGTCCGACCGGCCCTTCCGTCCCCTCTTCGATCGCACCGAGGAGGCTGGAGGACCACAGGGCGACGAAATCTATACATATCCACTGCTCCCTGGCCAGGCCCATCCTGAACCCAGCAGCGGTGCATACGCCACGACCTCCTGGCTTGGCCAGGAGGGCGTGTGCACAGCTCCTGGGTTCAGGATGGGCCTGGCCAGGGAGCAGCGGATATGTATAGATTCCGCTGCCCGAGACCGACGAGGGATGCCCGGGGCCCGATCCTCCAGGATGATGCCCGACGCCACGGGCGGGGGGGCCTCTCCCGAGGCCCCCGCGGTGGCCAGGGGCGCCCAGGCGCGCGGCGCGCCCTCCCCGCTCGGCGGGGGCGACGCCGCCCAGCACGGCGAGTACTCCTGCGCGCGGGCAAAGGCGAGAGGGGAGGGCGGGGGGGGGGGGGGGCAGTCGGACGGGGGGGAGGGAGGGCAGTCGGAGGGGGGAGGAGGAGGGGAAGGAAGGGGGGGGGCAGTCGGAGGGGGGGGAGGACTTCGGGAGGTCTGCGCGGCAGGTGTCCCAGGGATTTCGGGGCCCGGGGCGGTGCCAGAATCGTCCCGAGCGGCCGCTCGAGGCCCGCGACATCGAGCGAAGACCACGCTGGAGGAACAAGCGAGCGAAGGAACCACCACATCGGACAGCAGTCCGGGCCTGCTAAGACCAGGTGGGTGAGGCCATGACCTTCTGTAGACATGCAAGCATGCGCAGGAACTGCGAGACATAGAAAAAGTTAGGAATCTGCGCCAACACACAGAAAGTTATGACGGAGGGGGAGAGGAGGAGGAAGTCCTGGTTGTGAGCGTCGGCGAAGTGCTGATGTCGACAACGGCGGTCCTCCCCAGTGTGAAGGCTCAAGCCGTTTTGGCTGAAGGATCGGCGGTGGACAAACCTCCCTTTCGTAAACCACCCTTTAGTGAAAACGGCCTAGGACCGAAACCGACGGACCTGGACTCGCAAAAATGACGACCGCGACGCCCTCTCGCGAACCGAAAACGGCCAAATCGCTAATCGACGTGTCAGGGTAGGAGGTTTATCAACCTCCGAAAGGATGATTGGCTCAAGGCGCCTTCAAGCTCTCGATCATTTTCTGGGTGCTCGTGTCTTCGGTTACATACGTGAAGATGCCGGCTGGAGAGCACCACATGGGGATCCCAGTGAAAAGCGTGCTCAAAACATCAGATAAAATGCGACGTACGGGAGGCTCACCACTTCAAGTTGGCGAGGATGGACCTGGGGTTTTACAAGACCAGTTCCAGCAACGTCTTGCGGGGGTTGGTGGGGCGAGCGGATCCACCCCACAAGCAGCACTTACGACCGATACTGTTCGGGAGATCTTGAACGAGCAGTTGGACCCGATCAGGAAAGATATATTGGCGATTAAAAAAAACAGGTGTTTCACAACATGACCTCCAGACGGTCATCAACTCGCTGAAGGACGAGATTGACGGCGTGACCAAGAGGATTGGCATAGTGGAATCGAACTACACGTCGCGTCCGCCAACTTCGGGCCCCATTTCTGCAAGGACAGCATCAAGTATAGACACGGTCACGCAAGACAAACTTCAAGAACTTGAACGGGATCTTCAACAGCTTAAACAACAGCATGTTGCACCTGCTCGCCATCCAAAGCATGACCCTGACGAGAGGAGTTCGTTGACAAGTGTCTTTGGGTATCTTGCGGGGTTCGACATGTTCAACACAGCGGCAGCGTGGATGAACGAAACGCTATCCGAAGCAGACGGACCCATCCCGTACAACCTGTACATGAAAGGCGATACGACCAACATGTTGTATGCGAAGTTCGTCACCAAGCTGGACAGGGACACTGCCGTGGCTCTGATCAAAAGCGCAAAGTTCGACCTCAATGGGAATACTGTACGGGCTTCGCCCGACCGCCATCCATTGGAGAGGGCCGCTCGGAATTTCTGCTTCGGGTTCAAATATCTCCTCGAAGACACCATGCGCTCGATTTACACCATGAGTGTTTCAAATGACGCTCCTTACCAAGTTCAAGTGGGTGGTCAATTGGCTCTTACTTTTACTACAGACGGCACGCATCTTACTCGTAAGTGGGAGGAAAAATGGAAAAAATGGGAGGAACTACAGCAGCACGAAAAACGAAAAGAACTTGTGCGTAATTGCGACTCCTTAGTAACCCGGGCGACAGCAGGGATGAAGGGAGGGCCGAAGGGCAAGTCTAAAGGCGAGGGGAAAGTGTAGGAAATACAGCAAGTATCAGGGAACGTCCGACTTGATGCTGGAGCCGCTGGACAAGGACATCCACAAACAGTTCCGCCTAACCTTTTGAGCATTGAGGACATTATCGGCAAAGCTACCATCTTCTCCAACAAGTCGGTTTCAAATATAAGCCCGCGAAAAGTCGACAACGGAGCCGTACCTCTTCAGCCTGGCTCGCTTGAGTCCGACGGTTCGAGACGTACCCTAGGCAAAACTACCGCTATGTTCAAACATACGGAATCACGCACATGTTTCGCAGCCGGCATGGGCAACGACATCGAGCCGCAGCCACAATTCCACATTTCATCTTCTTTATTTTCGTCTCCTGCTACTCCCCTGGCTCCTTCTACATCATTGTCGTGCTTGCCACCGTCAGGGTCCCCAGCCCGCCAGGCTACCTCGACGCAGGCATCTTCTGCTTTCACGTCCGCAATTCTCAGGCCAGGGAAGCTTCCAGACTCCTGGGGAAGATCCAGGCAGACGCTCCCTCCCCTGAAGACGATGCGCCTTGGCGCATGGAATGTCGAAGGAATGCGTGGGAACTCAGTCATGAAATTAGCAGAGGTGGCCAAAATAGCGGAAAACTACACCGTCGACATCTTATGCACACTGGAGACACAAGTGCATGGAGCCGAATAGTTCATACAAGATAGGTTTCTATATTTTCTCTCTGGTGAGGCAAGCTTGGATTCAAGATCCGATGCAGTAGGGTTCGTCATATCACCTTGGGCATGCTCTGCCGTCGCTGCCTTCGAAACTATCGGCCCCAGAATGACCACACTCAGAAACAAGGTCGTCACGAGCATGCTGACGCTCATTTCCGCATATGTCCCCCACAGCGGACATGAACTAGAAGTACGACAGACATTCTGTGCTGCCATCGCCAAGCACATAAAGCCAACAACGGCGCACAGCTCCACTGTCGTCTCGGGAGATTACAATGCTGAGCTATTATGCCGAGGAGCGGGCGAAGAGGACGTTATTGGAGAACACGTTTTCCGAGGACCTCCACCAACACGACTCGCTCCACAGGTGACAAACCAGCAACTTTTCATGGAATTATGCACGGATTGCGACATGGTGATCGCGAACACATTCTTCGAAGGGGAGAAGGCTGACAAAATCACCTGAACTTGGGGGTGCAGCCGATGCAATCGATATCGCCAGAACTTCTCTCTCAAATTGATCACGTTTGGTGCCATCACTCGATACTTGCGTGCATGGAGGAATGCCGGTCTGCCAGGACAGCTGCCCTCGATAGTCATCATGCTCTCACATGCGCTACGCTACATCTTGAATTCCAGCGATCTTCACGGGCCGGCGCGCCCAAGAAGAAGAATCATGATATATTGGTGCCGTGGCAGACAAGCACACCCAGAAGCTCTTCCCCGCGAAACTCTCCAATGCCATCGTGGACCTACCTCTGTCCCCTTCTCTGGACGAAGCGTCGGAACATGTACACCAAGCCTGCTGTTCTTCCAAGCTGTGAAATACGACCGCGAAAACCACGGACAGGTACGTCTACTCTGGGACTCATTGCCCAGAAGAACGCCTAGCGCAAATCAGAGAACTACAAAAACGAGCTCCACCTACATAGACTGATACGGAAAGCTGGAAGAAAGATCGTGCAGCCTGGTTGGACAATTTAGTGTCCTCTGGCAGCTGGGACGCGGTCAAGCATCTACGAAGACATGCTCCCAGCAAGCAGGCGGGAGTCAAAGACTTCAATAGAAATGCCAGACCAGACACCCTTGTGGAGGAGGTGCACTGGCGAGTCTGTTTTGCCAACGTGGTGCCCACGAACACCGAGGTGCTTGGGGGCACCTTGACGATCAACACCGACACATTCTCCTTAGAAGAGCTTCAGACAGCGATCACGAAGATGAAGAACAAGAAAGCCGCTGGGCCTGACGACGTGCCCGCGAAATTCTGGAGACACACATGCCTGCGGAGCACTCCTGCGCGTATGCCACAAATGCTGGAAAACGAAGAGCACACCGTCCACGTGGAGGCGGGCTAATGTGGTGCTGCTGTTCAAAAGGAGGACGCTACCTTACCAAGCAACTACAAACCGATATCTCTTCTGGCCGTGAGCTACAAAGCATTGGCGTCGATGCTACACCAGAGACTCTTAGATGGTGGGTGCGAGCGGAGAGTGCGGGAATCAAAACTCAGTTTCCGCCCAAAGCGTGGCACGTCAGACGCCTTGATGCTAGTCAGGAGGATGGTGGATGCAGCTTATATGAACAGTGGGGACGGCTTATTACTTCTATGATTAGATTGGGCGAAAGTCTTGAGATCGCCTGAAGCACGACAGCATGTGCATGGCCCTGGAAAGATTTTGACTACCACCGCCAATCGTCAACATGATTCGTGGGATTTACACGGAGCGGTACTTTACTATTGTCGACCATTGTGGGACACATTCGGAGAGAAAACAATTTGCAGGCATCGCCCAAGGATGCCCTCTCAGCCCAAACTTGTTCATCAATGTTCAACCGTGATGCTGCACGACGCTCTGGACTGGTTTTAGCTACAACCAGAACCCGAGCATGTTATCACCAAGGACATGTTGCACGCAGACGACGCTCTCTGGGCGTCGCAACACCCCAGGAATATACAGCTCGTGCTCGAATCCATTGTCACGGAAGGTCGCAGATATGCCATGAAACTAACTGGGATAAAACAATGCAGATGAAAATTTCGTCAACAAGAGAAGTAAGGACACCCACGGGCGAGGTCGTCGCATCCGTCAGGGAAGCGGTTTGCTTGGGTGGGCTGGCACCTTGCGATGGCAAATCTGGAAGTAAGTTGTCTCGGAGGCTGGGCGAAGGAGCCAGCATCTTCAAGCATCTCCAAATTCGGGGGCGCGCAAACATGGACTAGCGATCCGTGGATTTGGCGCGCGGTCGCCAAATCCATGGATCGGGGGAGGTGCCCTCCCCAAAGTGCGGCCGGTGCCGCCTCGCTCGGCGGCGGCAATCCGCGATTTCCCATGGAAACGGGACCCGTCGCTAATCCACGCCCCCTGGATCCATGTCTGCGATCGTCTGATATTGGCCTCCGATGGCGAAGCCGCACCTTCTTGGGCGGGGTGGGCTGTCAGGCCCCTATCGGCGATGTGATCCCACCTGAGCCTGTCCCCCCTGTCGTTGCCCCTGATCCTGGGCCAGCCCGTCAGGCAGGTCAAAGTCCTCCGCCACGAGGCAGTCGCGGCAGCGGCGGTACCTTTGACGCTCCCAGGGCAAGACGGGGGCGGGGTAAAGACACAAGTTCGGCTGGGAATCAAATCGGGAATCCCGGAGACCCGGCGGCTCTGGAGGACGGATCGGGTGCCTCGGCCTCCTCCAAAGCGCTCCAGAACGCCCTCCCGACGGCTCTGAAACGCTCTGGAACGATTTATCCGTCCCAGGCCCGCCTGACTGCAGGCACTCGGAATGCCCTTGGCGCGCCCGCAGGGCACTCTCACGGGTGCCCTCCTCGCGCGCGGCGGGCCCTGCCTGGGAGGCGCGCGGCGTTCGAGATCTGGGGATCGACGCTCGACGCTCGAGGCTCGAGGCTCGAGGCTCGAGCATCGAGGATCAAGGCTCGAGGCTTCGATGGCTCGAGGTTTCGAGGCAGGACACGGGCTGGAGGATCGGGGGAGCGCTCCGGCGGGCACGCCGCACACAGCTCGGGCAGGTCCAGGGCAGGCTCGGCGGGGAACACGAGCTCCACGCCGCCGCGGCAGGGCCGCCAAGACCCCTGCCAGCGTCGAGGATTGCCAAAGAGAGGCCAAGACGAAGCCGGAGACCAAGATCGGCGGCGACGAGAGGGGCGAATAGCCCAGGGGCGGGCATTACACGCATTCGTCCGGGAGCCTCGCCGAAGGCTTGGACCATCGACGCCCCTGGATACATGTGTTGCTCTCCCCTGGGCAATTCGCCCCCATCGTCGCCCCCGACGAGACGAATCGGGGACTCTGAGATCTGCCGATTCTGGAGGATGAATCGGGCGGCGCGGCCACTCCAGAGCGCTCAACGGTCTGGAACGCCCTGAGACGATTCATCCCTGTCCTAGCCTCGCCCGAGGGGTGCCCCCGGCGCCTGGTGCTGGCTGCGAGCCCCCTGGGCCCTCGAGGGCCGCGCCAGAGATGCCATGGATGCCAGCTGGGCCTCCCTGGAGGTCCCGGGGACACCGTGGGCCAGGCACATCTTTGGCAACACCCCACCTGTGCCACCGACGAGGCGAGCCCCGCCGGGGCGTCGCCCGCGGAGGCGCCGTGCCGGTGATCGCACACGGAGGCACGGAAGGCGCCCCCAGGCTCGAGGATCGGAGGCGGGCCAAGTCGAGACAGCGGCGGCCCTCCCAGGCGCTCGGAGTCCTCCCCGGGCCTCCCAGCGCGCGCCTCGCGACATCGGCCGGGTCCGGGTGGGCCCCCTCGGAGGGGCCCGGGGGACGGTTCTGAGCGGGTGCTGTCTGGGCGGGAGCCCAGACATCCGACGTCGCGATTGTTTTCGAGACGCGGGCCCCCGACCTTCCCACCACTTCCCCGGGAATGGCTGTTCATCCCGAGTCGTTTTTGTTGCCGGTCCCGAGGCCCAGTGAGGGCCCGGGGAGGCCAAAAACTATGAAAAACCTCCGTCTCGATTTTTTCGAGACGCCCGATGTCTGGGAGAGGGGGAGAGGACCGCCCTGTGGTCTCAACCGGCCCTCCTCCGAGAGGAGCAGCGAGAAGACCCGGTCGCAGCCGCCCTCGTCTGCCAGCGGACCGTCCAGGCTCACCTCTCGGCGGGGCAAGGGTCGGCCTGACAGGCTCGCGCGGCGGCACGCCACCGACTGGGACAGAAGCAAGGGGGGGGGCCGGGGCCCCAATTACGGTTAGGTCGGGCCTGTCCCCCTACAGGGGGAGTTTGGGCGAAAATATACAAATACTCCAAACATAATCCAAGCATGCTCAGAAGTGAACTATTTTCAAACATCCCTCCTCCTCCTCCTCCTCCTCCTCCTCCTC